TGGCCTACTTCTAATAAAATGAAAGCAAAATACACAAATAATATTTAGACTGTGTTTCTGATTAAATAAAGCAGTAATTGATGCCATAAAATCATGGGTATGTTTTGATTTAAAGGTCAGAAGCTATGGCTTGCATGAACAAAAAAAAATAAATCACAAGCATGACACTTAAATTAAATAATCTTATATATACTGATTTATTCATTAATGTGTAATATGTTTTAGAAATAGATATTTTAGAAAATATCTAAAAGATTTTCAGAATTTTTACAACTCTTTTGTTTTAGACCATTTATAAATGTTAAATCATAAAATAAAATGTTAAGGTTACCACTGCATCTTTCCGGGAAAAAAAATGCAGTGATTAATATATAGTTTATTTATAGTTATTTTCAAATCTTCAATGTACTGTCATTATAAAAGATCTTTATTATTGTTTATTTAATTCAAACAAATAAGTTCTTGTTAAAAACTAAACAAAATTAAAAATAACTATATTATCGGTATCGGCATCGGCTATTGGCCAAAATGAGTTGAAAATTATCGTCATATTGGATATCGGCAAAAATCCAATATCGTGCATCCCTAGTATGAAGAACTAACCTGTCCTGGGGACACAGAGGCAGTGCAGCTGTGTTTCCTGAAGCAAGCCAACATCTCAGTAACCTCTGTCTGTAACTCCTCACGCAGGGACTGCAGCGGACTCTCCAGTGCTAATGAATACACTGACTCACACACACATTGACAAAATAAAGTTATAAATATTAGAATGTCAAAATAACAAAACTGAAGTAAAAGCAGGAAGACTGAGCTCAGTGCAATAAAAACAACTGATTATGAACTGTTAATTATGATAAGTGATTATATAAGCAAATTCCTGATAAGTATTATTATATTTATATTACATATTATTTGCACACTACCGTTCAAAATTTGGGGTCGGTAAAATTTTTGAAAGAAGGATTTATGCTCACCAAGGCCATATCCATTTGGCCATCCAATAGAGTTGCTTAATATTTTTGTGACTTTTTTTTTTTTTGATGAATAGAAAGCAACAGCATTTATTAGAACAGAAACCATTTGAAACATTATAAATGTCTTTACTGTCACGTTTAAACAATTTAATGCATCCTTGCTGAATAAAAGTATAATTTCTCTAAAAAAAACCTGACCCCCACACTTTTGAACAGAAGTGTATATATTATATATTTGATTAAAAAAGCAAATATGGTCAAATTTGATTTCATATTGATTTTAAGAATGTTGTAGGCAGAATGATCGTATTACTGTATGCAACTGCAAACACTGTTTTTATACTTTTCTTGCAGTAGAATGTGAGGAGCGTCTCGGCCTGGCTGCTTCTAAAGGTGTCTAGCAGCTGATGGGAAGCGGACAGAATAACGGTGTGTATCCGTGTCCTGTTCTCTCCAGAAGAGTTACTATATGATAGCACAAACTACACCAGCAGATGAGAAGGGAATCAAACAAATGAATAATAACAAATATATTAAATAAACAACAGATCAAATTATTTATCATGTCCATTACTCTCAGATAAGTGTAATTTATTAAATAAAATTTGATACTATGATTTAATATGATAATTTATGATTATATATCATACATTCAATGACATCACGTCAATACTACCTGTATGGCTACACCCCTCGTTTCATCCAAAGACTTGTTGTGAGTGAACTCAAATGCCAGAGCTGTGCGCCAATCAAGCGCTGCCATGGCAACACAGCAGGAGTCAGGATCGGCGATGAAGGTGCCATAGCAACCAGATAAGCGCATCTCTGCAGAAACACAGCGATTGAGCTGTTAATATATCCAGCAGCTATTTACAAATAACATCTGGTATTCACACATTGAATTCAAGTTACGAACAAGGGACTATCCATTCTAGTACTCAAATGATTGGATATTTGGCAAATCGTCATGTTTTATTTAGACTATGACCCATATATGTATGCTCTGTGTCTAATCTCAAAAAGAAAGCATCATACAAAAAAATGTATTGAAAGCTAAACTACAGTCTTCACATTTACATTTAGTTCTTTTCAGTCTCAGTTCCTCCCCATTTTAGAATCTGGGTTTCTAGATTCTTTTAGATGCCCCTTTGATTACCTTTACTGACAAAAACTCTGAGTTGAACTTTGAAGGCCATCTGCATGTTCACACATCTGCTCAGATCAGCTCGGAAGCGTTCCTGTTCCATCTCTGACTGCAAAAGAAAAATACACGGAAAGACATAGTATGAAATGAAATGACAGTTTGTTCACACTACATTAAATATGGTTGTCACTCCTCTTCTGAGTGCTCAATCCAGTTCTCTTCACACAGAGGGAAGTGGACAGAATAACGGTTTTGTTTATGAAGAAGAAGAAAAATAAAAAGAAAGAAAGAAAAAAAGAATTTTTCATCCATTACTACAGTGCTCTAATTGCAGGAACAGTCCTCTCAAAGCAGCACTGGATAAAGTGGCTTGCTCAGGGCGACTATGATGATAGAGCAGGAAGACGAACTTTGTAACACTTCCAGTTAATAAGATGTCTACAAAAACCTTGTATTAGCAGCAGAGACTTTTAACAAGTACCAACCATTATGACATTCCAGGCTAATTCTCGAAGCAGCCATAGGGTTGTTTTGAAATGTCAAATCTGTACAGCAGTTTTAGAGTAACTGGGCTCTAAGGTTTTCTTCGTCTGACATAATAGGACATGAGGGTGTACCTGATGTCGACTGAGTGCAGATGGCATTTATTACCTGTAGACTGTTATAGCAGATGACACCACCCCCTGTGAGAAAGGGGATGTTCCCTGGCCAAGCCCCGCGTACTTCTTGATGGGAGAACACGAAGATGTGCACACTGCAGCCTTGACTGACACACTCTTTAGCCAATGAGATCGAGGAATCTGGTCCTTGGAAGATGGACTAATATGAAACCAAGAGGAAGCAGATATATAAAGCACTTTTATATAAACCTCAAAACTAACTTTATGGCTAATATTGTGGAAAAAATGCATGCTCTTCACTTTGCTAGAGCTGAAGAAACCAGAGGAGTTTTTCTGATTTGCCTTCAGAAACAGGTGAGGAATGGAAGATCAATAATTTGCCAATAATTTGAAAATTCTAAATGTTAACATCCCTTACCCATTTAAAGCTTGCAATTGAGAACAAATCTGTTTACAAATGTGGTCTGGCTGCCCCGTTCTCACCGCACTGGCAGAAACATCTATCGCCAGCAGCAACACAGCAGCTTTACCCTGTTTAGAAGATCATAGTGAAAGTGAAAATGATAAACAACAACAACAACAAAAACTCTGTCAGGACTATTCAACAAATTAAATAAAACTGACATCAATATAAAAAGCAGACTATTGTACGTATATTAACGTTCAAAAGTTTGGGGTCGGTAAGTTATTTTAAAAATGTTTTTCAATAAGTCTCATACGCTCACACAGACTGCACTTATTTCATTAAGAATTTTAAAATAACTGCTTTCTCTTTTAATATATTTTAAAATGAAATTATTCCTGTGATAGCAAAGCTGAATTTTCAGCGGCCATTACTCCAGTCTTCAGTGTCACATGATCTTTCAGAAATCATTCTAATATGCTGATTTGGTGCTCAAGAAACATTTATTATTATTATCAATACTGAAAACAGTTGTGCTGCTTAATATTTTTGTGGAAACCTTGATACTTTCTTTTCCAGATTATTTCGTGAATTCAAAATTCAAAACAACAGCAATTATTTGAAATAGAAATGAAATAGAAATTGTAACATTATTCTAAATGTTTTTACTATCACTTTTCAATTGAATGTGTCCTTGCCAAATAAATCTATAAATTTTTTTCATTAAGTGCATCTATATATATATATATATATATATATA